CATGGACAAGCCCTATGAATCGCATGCCTTTAATCCCAGCATTGGGGAGACAGAGGTAGGTAGATCTTTTTGAGTTTGAGGCCAGCCTGGTCTACATAGTGAGTTCCAGGTCAGTTGTGCTACAGGGAGACCCTGTTTCAAGAAGACAAAAAAAAAAAACAAAAAAAAACTTTTATTTATTATTTTTATTTTGTGTATATGAGTGTATTGCCTGCATGTATGTGAGTGCACCCATGCATGCAATGCCCTTGGAAGTTAGAAAAAGGCGTCAGATCCCCTGGAACTAGAGTTACGGATGACTGTTAGCTGTCACGTGGGTGCTGGTAATTCAACCCAGGTCCTCTTCAAGAGCAGTCAGAGCTCTTAACCACTGAGACATTTCTCCAGTCCCAATGCTATCAGTTTTTAATGGTGAACTCTGTACACTTGGAAATGCATATTTTCGAGGACATAAAACATTTTTGAGGACAATAAAAACAAAGAATGCTTTAATGGAACGAAACTTTAAAATTTCCTAGAAAATTACTCTAGATCTGGATTTTTCTCCTGGAGGTTAAAGTGGCAAAACAGATGGTTTTTTAAAGGATATTAAGATGCTACTGGCAAGAGATGAGGAGAGAGAGTCTGAACATAATTAAAACACATTGTATGAAATTCTCAAAGAATCAATAAATTATTTTGGGGGGCGGTTTGAGACAGGGTCTCCCTGTAGCCCCAGCTGTCCTGGAATTCACTATGTAGACCAGGCTGGCCTTGAACTCACAGAGATCCACCTGCCTCTGCCTCCTGAGTGCTCGGATCAAAGGCATGTGCCACCATGCCTGGCTAATAAAAACATATTTTTAAAATTTTTTACTTTTTAAATTTTATGTGTGTGTATTGCCTGCATGTAGGTAAGTGCACCCATGTCCAATGCCCGCATAGGACAGAAGAGGCTGGGATCCCCTGGAACTGGAGTTACAGACAGTTGTTAGCTGCCATGTAGGTGCTGGGATGTGAACCCAGGTCTTCTGCAAGAACAGCCAGTATTCTTAACCACTGAGCCATCTCTTCAGCCCCATAAAAATTTTTGCTGGGCATGGTGGTGCACACCTTTAATCCCAGCACTCCTGAGGCAGAGGCAGGTGGATCTCTGTGAGTTCAAGGCCAGCCTGGTCTACATAGTGAGTTCCAGGACAGCTGGGGCTACAGGGAGACCCTGTCTCAAAAAGACAAAATATATATATATATTTATTTATTAATTTTATTTTATGTGTATTTGTGTATTGCTTGAATGTAGGTAAGGTACGTGCACCCATGTCATGCAATGCCTGCCGAGGACAGAAGAGGCTATCAGATCCCCTGGAATTGGAGTTATGGACAGTTGTTAGCTGCCATGTGGGTGCTGGGATTTGAACCCGGGTCTTCTGCAAGAATAGCCAGTGTTCTTAACCACTGAGCCATCTCGCCAGCCCATAAAAATAGTTTTTAAAAAACATGCTACTGGGGGGCTGGAGAGATGGCTCGGCAGTTAAGAACACTAGCTGTTCTTGTGCAAGATCTGGGTTCAAATCCCAGCACCCACATGACAACTAACAACTGTCCATAAGTCTAGTTTCAGGGGATCCAATGGTCTCTTTTGGTCTCCTCAGGTATTTCATGCCATGGGTGCACTCACACACATGCAGGCAATACATGCATACACATAAAATAAAAAGAAAATATTAAGAAAATACTATTGACTTTTGTCCAGGAATTGTAAGCAAAAACAAAAATAAACTCATCCTTTTGTTCATTCTTGGCTTCTCCTGTGTTTAAGATCAGACTTTGTCTAGGTACAGCCTAAAGTACGAGGAGACACAGGGCAGAAAATATCTCCAAATGCTAGCGCACATAATAGGGTGAAGATAGCATCTGAATGGAGGCATTTCTGGTCGGCATCTGCTGGGGCATTGCTCAGTCTGCTGGCTTTTGCTGAAAGAATCAATGGCCAACCACTTACAGCATGGTTCTTTAGTTCAGTTACAGAATTCTCACATGGGAGAGTTATTCTGAAGGTACCTGCCCTGGCAGACTGTTCAAATGTGTCTATAATCAAAAGCCTTCTAATTGACCTTTGTGCCTGCAATGCTACACTGGGTCTAGTCCACTCTTCACATGGCTGCCAAGTTGGAGAGATCCCAAAGTGCCACTGAGATCATGTTACATCCCACTGTCAATGATTCCCCATTGCCGTTATGGTAAATCTAAATCCTTAAGGACCAAGGTGGTTCAAAAACCACCTTTAATGAATGGACTCCTGCTTACCCTTTCAGTCCCAGTTTTTCCCTCCTTTGGTTAGATTACAGTCATACTTAGCATTTTTACTCTTTGAAAAGAGGGCAAAGACTTCTCATACACTGCTCCTTCTGTTTCACCACATCCTGTCTCTACTCTACCTGGATATCTCCCAGGCAATCTGCAAAGCTCAGACAGATCATGTCTCAGAGAGACCTTCCCAGATTCTTCTGACACACTTAGATCCTACTGTTACACATTTACATAATCCCCTGTACCTGTCCTTTCACAATGCTTACTCCTTTTGGCTGGTATTACTTATTTAACTGGCTCTTTTCCTGATAGCTCAGACAGGAGAGAAATCTATCTACTTGTTGACCACTAAATAATAGTGGTTGGGTTCTTAGCAATTACTGCTTCAAGGAGGAGAAAAAAAAAAAAAAAGAAACGGATAAATAAGAGTGATCCTCAGCATCTGTGGATCAGCAATGTTTCTATGTAGTTACTTCATAGAAAGTTTGTGATTCCAAAAGAACAAGTTAATAATGCACTGTTATTTAATTTCACTTGATGTGGCATATCTTTTGAATATTTCTTGTTGAACTTGCCCTATTTTCATCCTTCCTTACCAGTAACTGATGTCATTCATAAGACAGTTTCTGATTGGACTAATTTAATCAACACTTTCTACTGACAGATTGGTTTTATCAAATGTCAAGTACCGCCTGGCAAGCTGGTCAATTATATCTATCTCTTTTCATTCTGATACTTCTTTTACTGGACTACTTAAAAGAATGAGAAATTTCTTGCAATAAACAGGGTCTTATTACAGCAGAAAATCAACTAGTGGCCCAAACGCCTTATTCCATGGTAGTGTGCAACTTCGCACTGGGCTGGAAGATATCCTCTTGTTATTTGTAGGCTCTGTGGCTCTGGATCATAATAGTCACCTCTCTGACTTTCTGAGGACATGTGGCTTTATGAAGCTCCTGTGCTTGACGTAGGAATGCCAGGTTGAAACTTGAAAGTTTCAGGCTTTTTCACCTAAATGTCTGGAAAGAACTTGAAAAACTGGACCCTTGTGAGTGAGTGGTCAAGGTCACTGAACCCTACCCTGTACATGTTCTTTTTCTTTTTAAGAGAGTGCTTCCCCTGGATATGCAGTCAAATTAGGCTCTACCTAGAGCAACATTGGAAGACAGTAAAAAGGCAATGAACTATATAGAGATCTTGGTTTGGAAGTTACCTGATCTTCTCGGGAAGTTCCTTTCTTTGGCTGTTGCTTCCTCAAAGCTTCATATTTTTGCTTTTCTCGTCTGTATTCTGCAACAGCACCATCAGGGGCAGCTTCTTCTTCTAAAGAACAGTAGAATGTATTAAGAGCAAGTCATACAAAGGTCTGTGGATTCATGGTAATGTACACACTCATGTCACCAAACAGGAAGTTCAAAATAGGGTTGAACTATTTGATTTTTATCCATTAATTTCAAAATATCACCAATAAGATCCACCAAAATCTACAATTACAAATCAATAGACACTTACTTGTTAAACAATTTTATAAATGATTTTTTTTCCTATACTATACTATTTTGTTTTCCTTACTTGTACTTACTTAGGTTGACTGTGAAGTCACCTCTCACTTTTAAAATACTTTAGATTTTTCCAAAATTCAGCAATACCATTTTATACTGTTTCCTAACTTAGAAGACAAAATATTTCAAATAGTGGTTGATATTCTAATTACTACCACTTTTGTTCCCCAGTTACAATCAACCAACTTCATCTTGACAGTACCACAGAAAGTAAATACATCTACTAAATTAAGACAGCAGAAGTAGACAAAAAAAATCATTTTTCAGATGACAAATCTATACATTCAGCATAGCAATGAATAAACAAAACAAACAAGTAATGTTTGAGGTTCATATGCTTAGTAACCACTTGTGAAGAGAGACTATTATCTTATTTGGCATATACAGAAAATTCTTAGTCCTCTTCTTATCCTCTAACAGTTGGATTTGCACAGTCCTGGGATAAAGATCAGAACTTTTAATATGTGTTAGGATCTCTATATGAGGCAGTTAATGCCTTTACTTTTTTTCTTGTCCTGGGGAATCAAACCCAGGGCCTCATACATGCAAGAATGCACTTTGACAATGAGCTACACCCCAGCCCTAATGCATTCCTTTCTAGCCTCCCCTCTCACAATTCTTGTTCTTATCCATCTCCAAGTGCTTCCATTCGGTTTCTATTCTTCAAACTCATTCTGCTCTTTCAACTCCCTTCCTTTTGTTACTCATTCTTTAAGGAATACTAAACACATTACATCTCTCCATTCTCCAATTAGTTTTCGTTGCTTAATTCCTGCTTTAGGTCTTGGCTTGGGTGGTACTTTGTTCAGGAGCCTTTTCTGATTCCAGTTGCTGAGTCAGGTCTAGATGCCTAGTTTCCAGGCATCTAGTTTCCAGAGTGCCCCTCAGCACTTATCACACTTCATGGTAAGTTCTTGTTTACTCTTCTTTTCCCACCAGGAGTCATTAAATCCTTGAGGAGGAAAAGTCATATTCCCCAGCACTTAGAGCAGAGCTTGGCAAGGGCTACATGTTGATAAATAATGAAAAAGTAAAAGAAAGAATAATGAAACTGGAGAAGGGGAAAATAAAAAGGTAGTAGACCAGTTTGGTCCTCCATCTTACACTGACTGTTAAAGGAGAATTTGACATGCACCTGGGATCTCCTGCTCCATCACATTCAGGGAGTCAATTATATTTCTCTTGGGCCACTTTCTGATAGCAGAATTTTGTAAAATTTTATGTAAAATTCTAATTCTAATTAATAGTCTTAAGACTAGCTAATGCTTAATAGTTAAAATAAATACAAAAGACAAGTTCTTTACTTCGATTTTTCAGTTACAAGTGGCTGATAACCTTTATTTGCGGTGGGAATTTCAAAATAAATGGAAATACTAATAACAGGTATATTGAGTTACCTCTGCCCCAAGTAAGTCAAGCTAAGAACTTTGAAAATAGATTCAACTATGCATGTTTTAATGACATTCACACTCATTCCTTTATGTCTGACTTCCTTTAGCAAGGACCAATCCCTTGTTTACACTTTGAAGGAACATGTAGGGAATAGACTTTTCTTACTTTTCTTTTCCCTGTGTGTGTAGGGGGTGACAGGATGGGGGGTGGTTGTAGGGGAGAAGAACATGACAACGAAGTCTTACTATGTAGCCCAAACTGCCCTCTAAGTTGAGATCCTCCTGCTTCAACTTCTCCAAGGGCTACGTTATTCATCATACCTCGCTTTAGTAAACGTATTTTAAATTCTGCACCAAAGAAGACTTACGAATCAGTTTTATTTTTATTTACTTTTAAGGTGCCTTATTATTTTTACTTTATGCATATGAGTGTATTGCCTGCATATATGTAAGTGCACCTGTGCTGTGCAATGTCCATGGAGGTCAGAAGAGAGTGCTGGATTCCCCTGAGCAGGAGTTATGAATGGTTGACAGCTGCCACGTGGTGCAGTGCTCTTAACTGCTGAGTCATCGGATTCAATTTTAAAAAGCCAATGATAGGTAAATTTAAGCATGGAGGTTCTATAGCTATGCTATTAAAAAGTCTTCACATAATTTAGAAAATAACCTCATCTTGGAATCTATGACAAAAATTTTAAAGTAATTCTACTGAGGATACTTTATATACAGTGAAATTCAAATGGTGTATATAATACATGTTGGTATTGTGTGTAATATATAATTTTTAACACAACCAAGATATACAACAGCTCTGTATTCTTAAAAATCTATCTGAATGTCTCTTATAGTCAATTGCCCTCATGAGGCACCAATGACCTTTCTGTTACCACAGTTATGCCATTTCTAGACACTCACACACATGCAATCATTGTATATGTAGTCTCTTATATCTAGTTTCTTTTATTTATCAAATACATCCATGTTGTTGGGTAATCCTTCACATAACTGAATAGTATTACATAGCTTCCAGTTTGGGTTGCTACATATATTTTCAATGAACACTCACAAGTCTTATTGTGACTCATACTTTGATTTTTTTTTTAAGGTAAGAGCTTCAGATGGGCCTCCTGGATCATTTGATAAATGCATGCTCATTTTATATTTGACTGTCACATTGTTTTATGAAGAAGGTGCACCTCTATTCCTATTACCAGCAATGCAGGAGAGTTTGAACTGCTCTGCTTCCCAACTATACCTGGATTTGGAGTGGATAAGCTACCTACACTCTAATGGTGATAGGAATTCCTCATCAGTCATCCTAGTGGTTCCAACTTATGGTTCCAACTCTCTTTTTCATGGTGACAACTGATATTAAACATTATTACAGGCCTTATTGGCCATTTATATATCTTCTTTTGAACTGCTTGTTCATTTTTTTGTCTTTTTAATGATTTTTCTTATTTTGTTTATGTATATGAATGTTTTACTTGCATGTATGTAAGTGCACCCACATCATACAATGCCCATGGAGGTCAGAAGAAGGCATCAGATCCCCTGGAACTGGAGTTATGGAGAGTTGTTAGCCGCCATGTGGATGCTGGGAATGTAAACTAGGTCCTCTTCTAGAGTAGCCAGTGCTCTTAACCACTGGGCCATCTCTCCAGTCCCAAAATATTTTTATTATTTTATGTGAATGAGTATCTTCCTGCATGTATGTAAGCATACCATGTGCATGCAGTGCTTGCAAAGTCCAGAAGAGGGCATCAAATCCCTTGGAACTGGAGTTAACAGCTGGTTGTTAGCTGCCATTTGGGTGCTAGGAATTGAACCCCTGAGCTTTCTCTCCAACCCCCTGCCTTTGTCTTATTAATGTGTCAGATACAGCTTCTGCACATGGTCTCAGTCTGCCATTTATCCCTGCATTTCCTGAATTCAGTTTTCACAGAGAAGTTACATCTTGGTAGGAAGCATTTCATCAGTTTTTAAAATTTTATATGTATATCCGTGTGTGTGTGTGTGTGTGTGTGTGTGTGTGTGTACATGTACATACTTTTTGTGTATCATCTAAGAAATTTTTCCTTGCTCCAAGGTCACAAAAGTTTTTTTCCCAATGGTTTTCTCAACTGAGTTCTTTGAAAAAAAATTACTTAAGGGGCTGGAGAGATGGTTCAGCAGTTAAGATCACTGGTTATTCTTGCAGAAGATCTGGGCTTGAATCCCAGCACCCACATGACAGCTAACAACTGTCTGTAACTCCAGTTCCAGGGGATCTGATGGCCTCTTCTGTCCTCCACGGGTATTGCACGACACAGGTGCACTTACCTACATGCAGGCAATACACACATACACATAAAATAAAAATAAAAAATAAGAGCTGGGCGTGGTGGCTCAAGCCTGTAGTCCCAGCACTTGGGAGACAGAGGCAGACAGATTTCTGTGAGTTCAAGGCCAGTCTGGTCTACATAGTGAGTTCCAGGCCAGCTGGGGCTACAGGGAGACCCTGCTTCAAAAAGACACACACACACACACACACACACACACACACACACACACACACATTTTAAATACTTAAAAGTATACATATTTTTGCTCTGCTGTGATTAATTTTGATAAGTTTTCAAGGGATATTACGCATTCTTGCTCAACAGGGATCTATCTGTATCTCCTCCATATTTACACAAGTCTTTCCTATTATGAAATTTTTTAGTCTGATGGAGGGAAAGGCAAAATTACTCTTTGCCGGACAATAAGCTACCTATACTCTAATGGTGATGAGAATTTCTCAGCAGGGATACTTTTAGATACAGTAAATTTTTTTATTTATTAATTTTTAAAATTTCACTGTATGAGTGTTATGCCTGCAAGTGTGTAAGTGCACCCATTTTGTGCAATGCCTGTGGAGGACAGAAGAGAGCATCAGATTCTCTGGAACTGGAGTTATGGATGGTTGTTAGCTACCAAAGATACAGTACATTTTAATTTCACAAGCTTTCCTGTATTTTCCACATTGTAGTTTATGTGGAAAATAAGGCAACTTTAATGAGTCAGCTTATTCTTTCAGTATTTATATTAAACTATATTCTTTGTATTTCCTAGTTGTAATAATGAAGATGTATGCATGTAGTTTAGATATAACTGAACATCCTGCCCTGATAATATCTTAAAATTGCAGTATTCAGTCTTCCTTTTAAAAAGTATATTCACAACCAGTTTCACCAAAGTGCTGTATAAAGTAATCAGTGGTGTTAATGGCAGGAATCTAAAAATTAGTAAGATTCACTTATGAATTTCAGATCTCTTTGATGTAATTTCTTTGGGAATAGAAAGTACATTTAAAAGACAGATTTTCATCTTTAACTGATGGGTTACA